GTATCAATCGGAACTCCGGTTAAGTACTTCAACGCTACAAATTCTAGTAGATTTAATCGGAAAATCCCTCGTCCATCGAATTCAATCAAAATTCCAGGGAGCCCAACAAAACCAGACACATTTTTCTTGGTCGGTCACTGATCGCACTACCTGCTGCTCCGTTCCTTCACTAACATACGCAGCGAACGCGGGCGACGCGTTGCGTTCGAAAGAATCTCTCGGCTCTATACGACTAACTTGCATCCGGCTTCTTTCCGCACCGGACATCTATCGCGCAAAAGTCATGTTTGTAAACAACGTCGCGAGCACTCGCACGTTTTACGCGCGTCGCAGGGAGAGACGCGCTCGACACCGCACGGGCACGTCACAAGACCGACTGCTGCGTCACACTTTTGGTAAAAGCGTCGTCCCTCTCGCATACGCTTCGGTCGAGATCCGTCACGGACGCAACGCTCTCGTATACATCCACCGTCTTCGAAATGGTGGTCTAGGAATGTGACCGTTACAGGGGAAGAAAGCGTGCTGCTTGCTGCCCGGAGACAAAGGGCGGGAGGTCGAAGAGGGCGGATCTCGCACGCGAGACGCTGCGGTTTCACCTTATTCTTGGCCGCACGTCTTCAGATCCGACCGATTAAGTTACGCTCGATTCCCCGGGTTTACGTTGACCTCGACATAATTCTCAATTTTACGATACCATCGGCACAGTCTCGCGGCGGGGATAGACAAATATCGAAGGTAAACAAAAGTCAATCCTAAACGGACAAAGAGACAAACGATACGCGAAAGTATACGGTTAACGGTGACACCAACCTTTATGGATTCCCCGCGACGTATCGGAGTTAATAAACGTAGGCGTCCGGATTTTCACTCGGCGTGACATGCAAAGTTCACCATCGTCGAGAAGCGCGGAGCACTAAACGGATTGGACAACGGCGACGAACAACGACGCGTCGTTCGTGCGTCGAATACTGGAGAGAAGAGTAGAACGTGCGTTCGTGGAGCGCGACGCGCCAAGATGAAGCGTCCCACGTGAAACGAATTCGCGTCTCACTCTCTATACGCGCTTCATCCGTCGATCGGTTTTCTCGCCCAATCGCGCGAGCACTCTGCGCCGGCGGCGAGCGATCAAAACAGTGGAAGAAGGAGGGCGCGTCGCGTCGCACCGAGGGGGTTGGTGGGGAGCCACAGAGCATCATCGGTCGCAGGCATTGAGCGGGCGCGACGGAGCGCGAGCGAAACGAAGCGGAGCGGAGCGGCGGGCAGGAAGAGAGAGAGAGAGAGAGAGAGAGAGTGACGGTCGTGTCTTGTATTGCGTAGTAAGCGCTTGAATGGATTACGTCACGCGGCCGAGAAGGCAGCCCAGAGGGTAGAAACGCGCAGCGGACGGACGCGTCCCGGCGGCCGACGCGACGCGACGCGGCGCGGCGCGGCGGGCGATGGCCGCGTCGCGAAGAGACAAGACGCGACGTGGCGTGCGTAAATCCCCACATAAGGGGGTCGCTCCTCTTCCTGCTGGGCTTGCTCCTTTCTCCTTGTCGTTCCACCTCGAAATACGCGCGGCGCGTCGACCGCGGATCGATCGCCCGCGCTCGTACGTTATAGGTGCGCGCGGTTAAAGTGTGCCGGTTTCGCCGCCCCCGCGCATATTTTCGCGGACGGATCGAGGATGCCACATGCTACCGTCGCTCTCTCACCCCGAAGGCCCACGTGCGTTTTCACACACACGCGAATCTCGGGCGCGGCGTCTCCCCCGCTCCTCTTCCTGTTTTTATCCCTCCATCTCGACGCGCTATATATATATATATATATATATAAATACTTGACATATAAATGTATTTATATATACATACAGGCGTATGTATACATTCGCACGTGTGCCGTGTACAAACATATGTACATACGTAAAAAAAAAACCTCGTCCTGCTGCCTTTCTCGTTTCTTCACACACAGTCGCACACATTTGATTAACAGTTAATTCGTCGCCTACATTCAGACCGCTAAAGTCGTTCCGCACGCTTTTTGTTTCCGCGCGGATTATCCGTATCCTCGCGCGGATAAAAAGCGTGGACTCTTATATACGGCTCTCACCTCGTCGTGCGTGCCCGTTGCGGCGTGCGCACGATTCATGTGCGCGCCGTTCGTCACGCAGTAGCTCGCGGTGGCGATGGCGGTGACAGAGACTGCGAACGGCATATCTCACTCTTCTCCGCTTCTTCCGAGAACGTATAGATATACACCGCGCCCGCGGAACGATACGCGCGACACACCGGTAACGCACAAGGGAGAAAGAGAGGACACGCACAGGGCACTGACACGGGGACAGGCTGGCACGACGACGACGACGCACACACTATCTCACGGCTCTCTCTCTCTCTCTCTCGTTCGTACGCGAGTAAACTCCTCTCTCGAACGACGCGGGCGGACGCGCGCGTGCGCGGCTCGCTTCAACGAGTAGGCGGCGCGACACAACGTACACTCCGACCAGCGAGTCAGCTGCTACTGATCGAGCCGCGCGATTGTTGGCACCGCACCGACCGACGCGGCGGCGCGACGGCCGTAAACGTAACCGCGAACGCAACGGCACACTGTGAGGTACGTCCCACTGAGTCGCGGGGAGGAGCGTCGACGCGAGCGTCGCCGCGCGGTCGCCGGCGTGAATCACCTCCGGGCGTTTTTCTTAACAATCGTCGATTCGACGGGACGCGCCTCGATTCCCAACGTGGTGAAATTCAGAGGATGATCGAGCGTTTCGTTGCGTCGTTGGATTGGATTGATATGCGAAGGATTCGTCGTGCGTGCCCGTCAACAGCCGAGAATCGACTCTCGATCAAGGTAATCGTAAGCGTAATCGTTATGGGGCGCGATTATCGATACCTCCTTTTATTCATATGGAGTAAATTTGCCGTCTCTTAAAAAATTGCAGCGTTCTAACTTTATGTTGTACATTTAATATGTACAAAGCTCGATAGCGAAATGACAAATCATTCTTGTACTATATTTGAAGATATATCGTGTAATTTAAGAAAAAAGAGATTTTTAGTGATAATTTCTATCAATGCGCGTGCAGATTAATTTTAATCTCTTAACTCATCTTTTATTCTCCTTTTCAAGAATTGAAAGAAAATAATGAGCAATTAAACCGAGATTAAAATTTACATTGGCGGAAATGGAGCATAAAGGCCCCCTTTATGAAAATAATAACACGATGTAAAAAAGATCGGGTGAACCGATTTCAAGGACGCGGAGTCGTTTGAAATAATAACGATCAATCAGAGATTAGTCTGAAATTTTACAAGTCAACGTGAAGCCGTTATGAAAAAATTCTCACTTATCAGAAGTTTGCTCCAAATTATATTCAGCTGTAATTATGCGTGATGTTACACCTGATGTTCTTACATCATGAATAATAATGAATTTTAGAGAAACAGGAGACCCGAAAATTACCGCCATGAATTTAACCGCAAAGTTCAGCCAACTAGACGTTCGCTTATATAGTCAAACTTTCATATTAGTCTCTCGCGTTATCTCGAACGTGCCAGGAGAATATAAATGAATACGAGATTGTAAAATAAAATTGTTTAAAAGCGAATTGTCGTCGAGAGGCAATACCAATTAAATTCCGAGTGGTCATTATTTTCTGATTAGTACTACTTCTCTACGTCGAGAGCGACGGTCCTTGAATCGCTCATTCGCGATTCTGTTTGTTTATTTTATCGCGCCAACGATATCAGATAACGATTATTTTCATCGCGCCACTGTATATCGCGTAAAATCGATAAATGCCGATCGGCATACCTGACGCCGTGGCCTCCGCGGTAGCCTGGATATCTCTCCGTGTATTTTTAGATAAAATACATTTAAGCGGGGCGTAAAGAAATTGACGTCGTTGAGCTCGACGAACATCTGGCCTGTCTCCTTTCCGATCACTTCCGCCCTCATCCGTCTGGCCCCCTTTTCCCGAGCTCGTGACCGGCTTTTTTTTTTTTTTTTTTCTATACACGACAGCATTTCCTTCCTCCTTCGTCGAATATCACAAACTCGTTCCAGGCCAATCGCCAGTTTCTGCATGCGTTGCACAAACTGTAGTTGATGCGACGAGCATTAACACGTGCATGTATGGTACACAAAGCCCTACGATTCTCTATGTTTGTTCATCGACGTTATTAATCCTCCGAAACGCTTCTCGTGTGTAGACACGTCCGTTGACCTTTGACATCCTCTCCTTTGTGTGTATTTCCTTTCACTGAAGCTTCTATTTGTTAATTGTTATGCGTATTGATCTTTGTCAGGAACGACGTTCTCGTTAACTTTCTCGCTAAATTGAAATATCGAATAGTTTAAAAAAAAAAGTACGACGTTCAGACGTGTAGCTATTTTCTTACTGTATAAATCGATTTTCTTTGGCGCTTTACTGATTATTTCATTTAATATCTTATTGATTACAGAATTTGTGTCGTTTAATAATTGTTTTGATTTACTTAATTAAAATGGATTTTTGATAATAAATTTTTTCATAACGATAGATTGTCGCGCCAAGTTGATACTTTAATTAAGATATATTATGAGATTTACTTTGTGTGTTATTTCTTTATAAGATAGAGTACATTATGGATAACGTAGAAAAATATAGTATCGTAGTTGCAATATTCATTCGCTATATAACATCTTCTGGAAAGTAGATTCCTATTATATCAGCGGTTAATGAATTTCTATCTTTTCTCGCTCTCTCATTCAATGAAAACACTTCAGTATATACACATAAAAGTATCTCTTATTTCATACACGTATAAATCTTTTCAGTTTGTCATGCAGACATATTACAGTTGATATACAAATAAAACAAATTTATCATGAATCGTATAATTACAAATCGATAGCGTATAATAGCTAAGCTATAATTACAAATGATTTATAACTACAACTTATAAACAATATATTAGAGATCTTGAAAAAGTCGACAATATCCATCGACTCTTATATAATCTCTATCTTATCCCAATACTTACCGTATAATTAAGAGAACACATCCTATTCACTATAATAAATAAAATAAATTTGGCAGAAAATTTCACAGAATTATCCGTCAGTCCACTTTCTTTTTCAAGACATCCTGACCGATTACTGCTCGCCAGCATAATTTTTTGAGTCCATAAATTATCAGAATTAAACTCAATATATAAAATAGCACGACGTCCATACTGTAATAATGAAATACGCTCATGTACCTGAAATATTATATTTAACTTTGTACTTAATTTCCTCATTTCAATCGGCAATACATAATAATGTAAATATTTTAAATGTTTGCAACGAACTTGGTTCTCTCGCCAAATATTTGTTATAAAGATATAAGATAACAAAGATTTCTATAGATTTTCTACAATTTAAAAAAATGTTTGTGCAATAGTGCAAAGATGCTCCATATTTTTAATTATCTACACTCCAGATAAAAAACTTGAAAACGTTTTAAAAATTAACATTTTTACGTACGAAAATATTCATAACAATGTGCCTTTAATAATAATAATTTCTCAGATCGCCAATAAACACTTATTGGATCCATAGAATTATTGTTTCTAAATTTTTCGCCTGGAGTGTAAGTGCTTTGAAACCTAAATGAAGAATTATTCAAAACTTGGCAGAATTATTCGAACATTGCTACACTAAAATTCGTAATATTCATATGCATATTTACTATAAGGAATCGGTATACTTAACAGCAATTGTAGAAAAATGATATTACCTGATTGAACTTTTCAAATGATCGGCTCCACCATGCCTGGCAACGTGTTCGACCCACCAAGTGGCCAATTCTCCTGGACCGATCGGAAGATCACGTAGCAACGCACTTCTTTTTTTAGCCGCCTCTCTGTACGAGTTATTGTGAAGTGCGGCGACTTTAATTATACCTTCGCGTAGCGCACTAATGGATATACCTGCCAGATCCATTATCAAAACGTACCCCAGCTTGCCTGTCAAATATGTACACAAAAATATAACGATTTTGCATTGAACGGTTAATCATGTGATATAAACTAATTCTCTTTACTTTACGCGTAAAATTTAAAAAAACGTAAGATTAGGGTATAGTTTTCACTTTCCATAGAGGCGTTCAAATCATTTTCTCCACCGCACATTTAGGGTTTCTTCTATCAACTTTTGATTAAGTTAATCGATACTCATCTCGCAGAAATGCCAATAGCAATTTAATGAATCAGAACTTCTCCTCTCGGTTCCTTCTCTCAGACAAACTGTTCAGTTCTCACGTTAGCAATCGTGATGATTGAATCGATTAGCGTTAATTAGAATTGGTAAAAGGATCCTCACTGTTTCAACCGACGATCAATTGATTCTACTCGACTTTGGTCCATTTCATATACAATACATTAACTTCAATCTCAATTTAATTTACTCCTTATCTTTTTCTAACTTTTAGAATTAAAAGAAAACGTTAAACCGAGATTAATAAAAAGTTAAAGTTACCGAGATAAAAATTAATCTACCTAGATTGATATAGAAATGTACAAGTTTCTCAAAAGCTTCGACGATTATTTTCGATTATTGGGCTGAGATACAAGACGAAGAGCCATCGATACGTATCTCAGATACAAAGCGAATGGATTTACCAGCTTGCGCCGCATTTCCATCGTGATCGCAGAAGACTGGTAAGACCAGAGTCGGCGCACCGTGGTAAGCCGCTTCGTGCAAAGATAGCAGCCCGCCGTGAGAAACGAAGGCACGTAGCTTGGGATGGCCAAGCAGCTCCTGCTGCGGCCACCAGGCAGCCGTCCTCACATTCGCCGGCAGATCCTTGATCTTACCACCGTCCCACTTCCACACGACGTTGTACGGTAGCGTGGAGAATACTGCGACAAAGATCTGCCGTAACGCCTCCGGCATCCCAGAAGCTCGCACCGACGATCCCATCGAGACAAACACGAAACCTGTAAAAGTGCGTTCGACATTGCGGCACGTTCGGTCCGGGAGATTTTTACTGCGCGTTTACTTCAATTGAATAGCGGAGTCCTCGAGGAATGAAAAACAATGTGACGCAAAATTACGATGCCTTTCGATATGGTTCTTACAAGAAATGGTAGAAGAGCCATCGTTATGCTTCCAGATGATTATATATATCTGATACTTTCACGTTAAGAAGAACCGTTACTGATCAAATTTATTATAAAATAAACACATACACTCTACAAAAATATGACTGTGGAATTTTAACACCGTGCAGTTATATGTATAATTCTTACATTTCTTTTCTTTATAGCTGAAATAAATTTTTTCAATTTATCGAATCTTGTCAGGTTATACTGAAAATATGGATGTGGACTTAACGCCATGGACTTTATTGAATCGACATCATGTTGATGTCGCTGCAACACCGTAAAACAGCCTTCAATACGTTAATTTAGTGTAGCGCGAGTGAATTCATTGTTGGTGTTTGTAACAAGATCACGATGAATTGGAAAAATTTATTTCATCTAAAGAAATGTTAGCTACAATTAAGTCTGATCTACAATGTGCTCTTTGTTTCCTGTTCCTTAATTTTTATCTCTTGCTTTTTTCCCTCTCTGTGTAATCGTTTTATCGACAATCGTATTTCTTGCCACGTGTTTCCTGTTTCTTTCAAAGTTCGTTAACTTTCATCTCGGACGACGGAGAACGGGATGAAAAGCAAAAAGGCAAGCTCTAAGAAGTAGCAAAAAGCAATGAACAAGAAATAAAAAGCAGATTGTTCATCAGGCTTTATGAGATAAATATCATTTTGATCGCATGACGATTTTGCTACGAGATATGAACATTTTCGGGACGTTTAACGAGTTGAGAATAATGTAAATTTCTTGAAGCAGAAATGCGAAATTAGGAAATTACCGCGTCGTAGAAAGGATTCTAAGTCTGTGCTTAATTGCATCGCCGGTCTGCAGTGAAGGCACGCCACGTTTACGACGTTCGACAAGTAGGGCACGGAATCGCCCACGCTATAATGACTGTTCTGCAGAGTCAGAGGGACCTCCGCCGTCAGGCTGTGCAGATCGGGTATATGATTGCCTGTCAAAAAACGAAATACGATACGGTCATTGGGACTGTATCTATGAGTATCTAATTATAAATAAAGATACACGGCATTAGCATACAATTGACAGAGCATCGATATATGATTCGATGAATCAGCGGGGCCGAAATTGATTTAGGTGCTCACCGAGGTATCTCTCGAGCGTCGGCTGAAGATAAATCGAGACCGCGGACCAATGCATAAAGTTTAGAGTGAGCAGGGCCGCCGTGTTCAGGACTCTCTGGAAGAAAGTCATGTCCTGTGTGTACGCTTTACCGAAATACGGTGTCACCGACCACGGTGATGGATTGCCCTGTCGCATAATGGACCCGCTGTACAGTGCCACCTGCCAGATAACATCGCGTCGTTCTCATTACACGTTAGTAACGTTGCAGTGAAAGCAAAGACTTTAATGAGGCAAAGATATCAGATTTTTAGAAAAGGAAGAAATCAATGGAGACCTGCTCGCTACTTCACCGTTATGCAAGCTCGTTTTATCATTATGTTGCATGACGTCATTGAAAAAAAAAAAAAAAACAAAAAAAAAAGAAGAAAATTGATACTAATCAAACTGGCTAACGATTTGCTTAGCGCGTCAAAATTGCTTTAACATACCGAGAAACGCGTGTAAACTGTTTTACGACGAGATTATTTCGCACTTTGTCATATTAGTTACACACGAGTGAACAACATGATGTTCACCGTTTACTTTTCATTTATACGCGGAAATGTCGGGATACAACTAACAAAGATGTTTTTCACATTCCGCACATCTCATGGAAAACCACGACGAATTCACTTTCGTTGTTTTTTTTTGTCATTATAATGTATGCCTGTAGACGAAGAAAAAAATAAGAAAGGACAGTTCTATATATACCACCGTTCTCTTGAGAATTAGTTTTTCAATATCACGAGAGAATTCCTTTATTTAAAATTTTATATTCTAAAGATTTATATTCAACTCCTTTCAAGAAATGTGCAGCCATGTATAAATATTTAACTACTACCCAGGAATTGATTATGCAAAAGTCAGTTTTTTATTAAAAAAAAAAAAAAAAATACGTTGTATTATGAAATCCGCAACTGCAATCAGTAAAAATATAATCTAATATCATTGCGTGTGCTGCAACGTTATTCTTTTATGTCATATATGATATATATGTATATTGTATATATACACTTGGAAGGAATGACTTTGCTGGGGTATTTAAAAATTTAGCTTAGAAAAACGAATCTTAAAATAATTTTGTCAAATCGTCAAAATAATTAGGTGAAACGTTTATGACAATATTGCAAAAAGTTTTAATATTTTAGTAAGCAGTTTGAGCATCCTACATTTATCTTGATGATCTAAACAAAATTACTGAAAGTATCTAATTAAAATTTTATACTTCAGCAAAGCCGTTCTTTCCATGCTACCTATTATTATGAGTCAGAATACTCTAAGGCTAATATTCCATTTGCCGTGTAAAAAAATTTCTCGAGCGTACGGCTAATATTTCACTTGTCGTACGACAAATTTTTCAAGCGTATTAATTAGCTGTAAGATAAAGGATTTTAAGAAACTCGGGAGAACTTGACTATTCTTCAGCCAATTAACACACTTGAAGAATTCGTTGTACGACAAATGAAATATTAGCCTATTGACCAAACTGCAAGTTAAAAAATATTCTGGGAGAACTCAAGAACTTTTAAAATAATTTAATTTAAAAACATTCTCGAAATTGTCAATAATAAAAAGTAAAGAGAGGGCTAATGAGGAATGACGTGTTGTCAACGTTGCGCAATTTCGTGTGCAGAGTCAAGAAGTTTTCTATAATTCTGCAGTTAATTAACATGCATGAAGACTTCGTTAACAAATGAAATATTAGTCTACCGACTACGAGATAGAAGATTTCTAGAAACTCAACAACTTTTTTTTTGTAAAATAATTTAATTCCAAAAGAATTCTCGAAATTGTTAATAATAAACTGTAAAGAGAGGATTAATGAGAGTGACGCGTTGCCGACGTCGCGCAATTTGGTGTGCAGAGTCAAGAACTCTTCTATAATCTTATACTTTAACAAAAATGCGACAATTCTCTATCGTGTAATTCTTTATCGTCATGATTTTTTTATGGGTCAATTTGACACCATATCGTTTATCGGTTTCGAGTAAAAGTCCGAGTGGGCTGTTATCGCGGCAAGAAAACCAGGACGGGCCTGTAACGGGAATCGGAATATTGCGGCAAAGGGTGCCCATCGCGTTTTCTCGGCGAAAGGAACATTACCGTATTCAACATTATCGTCGGCACATTCTCGCCATGGAGGATGCCCAGCATGCACTCAGGAAAAGCGCCGTCAAGCACCGCGACGTCCCATCGAGCGTGCGGATCGCCATTCGGCTTTCTCATGCTGGCTACCGACGATGCGTCCTGGAGCAAAGCCTCGCATGACTCCCAAGCATATCTCATAGCGTCCCACGGTGATACCGGAAGCTCATTCCGGAACCTGGCGCCCACTAGGTCCCACTCAGCCGTGAAATTCTCGACGTAAGCCTGCCGTGAGAGACACGAGCGGTGAACATGTGCGCGCGGTACAATACATAAATCCGTTAGCTCGCGTGGTCGTTGGATTAGCGTTAGCCCGGAAACTTTCAACTTCCGTGTTACAATAAGTATTGCATCGTAAAACTTATTCGCCCTCGCGGAGCGGTATACCTCCATATCTTTAAGTCTCAGTACAATTTACCGATCGTTTATTACACACATTCGTGTTCCGAGTTAATTTTCATCTCTTTAACAAATATAAAAAAATTATTAAGTCATTTATATACTTTAACATTTAAAAACAATATTTGTAAGCAGAGGATTGCAAAAGTTACGTTTTAAATTATACCTTATATGCGTTTGTTATAGGGACTGATTGTGAGTACAAAAAATTGGAGCAAATGATAAAATATAATGTAAAAATTAAATTACTGCCGAACTTATTGTACTCGATCTGTTTCTGTAATAACAAGTAGCTTATAAATATAACTTGTAAAATAATTTTTCCAACCATGTTTGTAAAAATTGTGCGTTACAAAAATTGTATTATTACTTGATGCTCCTAGTTTTCCGAAGAAGAAAAGTGATCTGCAGGACACAAATGATCTGTCATACCTAAGATTAAAGATTAATTTTACGAGAAAAGAAAATGATGTCATGCGTGTCCTTCTTCTAAGAAATATAAGTTACTTTGGCAAATTAAATCCGAGTGGAATGGATAAATAAAAAACAGAAGTAAAAGCAGTAAACATTTCAAAAGAGAACATTACGAATGAAAAAGAACGCAGACGATACAAGCCGACAGCTCTAGTAAATTACTCGGTGTGTAATAAAATTAAATATGAGTCAAGAGCTAAATTGGACGAAAGAAATGGCGCGCGTAAAACGCGGCGCAAAAACCCCGCGGGGGAGTTCGGAATCCGTCAGAGGGAGAGACGGCGTGAGTGGTGGATCGTAAATCACCTCGAGGATCGACGGCACCAGCTCGTGAAGATCGTTATTCGCCGCGGGACCAGGGAAAGCGCTCAGCAGCGTGACGTTGTGCCCTCGCGACCTCAGACTCGTACCAAGGGCGACGAAGGGCACCGTGTGGGACTTGGTACCACCCATAGTGGCCAGCAGGATGTTGTAGCCCAGCAGGGGCCTGATCAGCAAGCTGAACCCCAGGAGCAGCTGATGGAGACCGAGTCGATATGCGACACGCGTCATTCTCAAGATATCAGCTTGTCAACCCGTTTTAACACGATGGCAAATGATTCTCGCGTGGCGATTCTCGTCCTCTTACGCGCCGCGTGGCGGAATATCGAGATCGTCGACGGTTCCAGCTTCAGCAGAATAGGACAACGATCGTCTCGCGATCTGGCGTCATTTCTTTTCCTTTTTTTTTTTCTTCTTTTCTATTCCTTTTCTTTTCTTTCACCACGAACAATCCCCGTCACGTACGAATGCGCGCTCGCTTTCGTCACGAACTTCTTTCGTGCATCGGCGAAGCGAGAAACGGCCTGCAGGATCCGCGGTGAATTCGTATTCTTCTCGGAGCGTTTCCGGTCGGGTAAACGGAATGATGCCGGCGGGAGTACGGATCTCTTACGCTCCAATTCGCGGTGGCGAACCGATGGATCGTCGCCGTTGCGATTCGTGCTGTTGATCGTTTTGCGAGCGTGTCGCGTCTGGTCGCTGTTTATAAGTCGCTTTCTTACGATTGCTCCGTCTCGTAGTTTTCCGTAAATCGATCTTCCTGAATATAAATCGGAATGTCTAATGGGGAGTTAAAGCGTGCGTGCTCTTTCGAGACGAGTAACGGAGGTCAAATTTCGTCCAAGTAAAAGTTGTTGTTATTCTACTGTCAAAAGAAAACGAGATTTTTTTTTAAGTTTATAGTGAATTACGCGCCTCGTCTCTTTAATTCTCTCGTTCGCTTTCAGCAAATAAATAGCTTCGAAGCTGATATTATATTTTTATAAGCACTCCGTTGATTTTACTCATCCAGTTTTCCGCTGAAATTGTTCATAATAATCTTCCGTAAGAGAGATGAGATTCCGCCAACTGATTCTTTTGATCTTCGAGTGAAAGATTTACCGTAGATAATCTCTTCTGATCTCTTTTTCAACCGAGAAAATAGAAATTACCGATCATCTAACAAAGCTTTCTCTCTCTTTCTCGACACTCCGCCGCGTAAATGAAGTTGTTTGCTGTATGCAAATCTTTATAACGGAATCCAGTCTTCAATATCTTTCTAACATTGAAGTATCGAAAGCTTTTAACGAAAGCGTTTTTAATGAGGGAGTTAAGGAGAGTTTGTATTACAGAGGCTTTTCATATAGTTTAACGATCTTCAGACTTCTACTTATGTCTTCTTACCGTCTACTAGCAGTCGTTAACTGCCGATGAAAAAATTATAACTTTAGAGAGGTAATGCTATTGGACTTAAATCTTCTGTTTTCTATAAGTTAGCAAATAATATCATTTACAATTGTACAATGTGAATCTCGTCGCTCTCAGAGAACAAGAGGGGATTGAAGCATCACGTTCTGACAGTTTTTCTTTTGCTTCAATTGTTTCATGTTTGACGTTTCCTTTCTTACCTTTTTTATATTTTTGCCGAGTTCAACTTACTTGGAAGATCTTCGCTCTGCGAAAAGCATCGTGAAGTATTATTCTGCGAAATTTCCATTTGTTTTCCTAGCAGTAGGTACTTTATATCTCTCGCACAGTCTCTCGCAAAGAGCCCGTCGTAAGAGCACCGTTCTATCAAGTACGCGATCCGACGGTTCCCCTTGAATCTTTTTGCCCCTAATAACTCTCCAGAAGCTTCTTAGTTTGTGGTCTCGCTCTGTCTTTTTCTCGGATCCGCTCCTTTCTCTTGCGAGAAACTCGTCCAAAGTGCTTGGGCTCCCTTCGATTCGATATTCGCTCGAGAAGGTCTGACAAAGAGAACAATGACACACAACTTTTCGCTCTGTGGTCTCTCTCGACTTTTTAAACGCCGTTTTGCCGATTTCTCACAATGACGTCGTGTGTCGAAATTTGAATGTCGACAAGAGACCGCCCGTCATTTTGCTCAATTATCTTTCCCTTTCTCCAGCCTGGTGAAGATCTCTTGATCCTTCCTTTCCTTCCTGACCTTCTTTACCCCTTCACGCGATTCTTGGCGGGAATATCGTATAGCGCCGTTAGTCTTGATCCTCAAACTGTACAAACGCGAACGACTTTCACTAATAACGTATGACTCGTATTCGCGATCGTCCGTCGCGATAATCCGATTCTAGGAATCGAAAAATCAATGCCGCCTCCCGCGTCAAGTATCATTTGTCTTCAATCTTTAAGATCGAGATTCCTAGCGACGCGGAGTGCTCTGTAATGTTTTACAAATGAAGAAATCGTCTCGATCGAAATCACCCAGGTCGAGGAGCAGTTAATTCGTTATCTCTTAATTAACCGTCGATTTATCCAATAAGACAGCTTGCACGCAGTTGCAGTTCAATTTCTCTTATCGCAGCTTAATATACTTCTTGCAATAATTTATCATTGAATCTCCTCACGTCTCGCAAAAAAGCTTGCCGCTCGAGCGCCACGCACTTCCTCCGTCAGGCTGTCAGAGTAATATCTTAAAAAGAAAAAATCTAACAACCTTATTAGTTTTAATAATTATACGTTCGCTGCAGCCATCGGTGATACAAAAACTTTCTTAACAAAGTACCACGAGAAGAATAAACTTCGATATTGCGCCAATTGGCGAACAAGTTCTGTTAACGAGGAGACCACACTGCCGCCGCTAACCGATATACCTGATCAACTTTTTATCGGCCTCCTTTACTTTTTTTTTTCCCTTCTCGATCCGTCGGCAGATTTTCGGTCACGTACAGCCAACCCAATGGAACTTCTCCGTTCGCTACGCGTCACGATTTTCGCGTCCCGCTCCGGAATCGGAGCGGAATTGGAATCGACGTACTGTATACTCGCAAGCGCGGACCTTGAAAGCAGCGACGGACTAATATTCTTCACTCGCGAAGCTCACGGTATCGCCGAGCGTGAAAGTTTGACTGTGCCAGCAGCAGCTTTAATGATCAGCTGAGCTCTAGAGAGAGAGTTTTACCTCCCACCAAGACGTTCCTCGCCGTCGGTCGCGCGTCCGAGGATGTTTGGGCGCACCTATATACCTCAGAGAAGTGGACATTCGATAAACATCTCGTTGACTGCGAAATTTTATAACTGCGTGTGTAGTTGACGAAATGATGTGGTTGTCGTATCCATAACATTACTTTGTTAAGTAATACCTTGATGCATTTTGAGGATAATGACGGCGTAACTTTGCGATTATACGTTATCTGACATCGTCGAGATAATTGTTTTCCATAATACTTTACTTACAACTTTGCTCCAGTATGAAAAATATAACCGTGAATATAGGCAACAGAATATAAGATTAATATTGTCTTATTACGCCCCGAACAATTTCTCAACGACAAATTTGATTTTTAAGAATTGACACATTACTTTGAAGAATGCTGTATATTTGAAGAGGCCTTCCCATAATTTTCTGTTGCAAAATTAACTAGAATATTCATTATAACATTGAGAATGACACGATCGAAACGTTTGTATTTTTATGTTTTGCTATTAAATTTTCTTTGTTAACTAACTAGCTCTGAACCCTTCGACATTCTAATTTATTGTTTATTCTATTTTAGGAGTGTTTCCTTGAAATATTCATAATTTTTTTTACATATATCGTATGTAGAAAAGGGCTATTTCATCAGTTTTAATTTTAAAATAATATGAAAATACGATGGCAAACAATATCTCTTTGACGTGCTTATAACTATATATTTATCGTACCATCAAGATTGCTCTTTGAGAGCACAAGCACAACCTTTAAATATTCAATACGTGCAGTTCTCAGAAACATAATTATTATTGCACTTGGCACGTTCGTTGCAATCGCGGCGCGCCCGCTCACGAAATCCGTACGAGGAACGTGTGCGTCTTTCGCGGAAATAAAAACTCACACTTAATAGTATACAGAACAAGAATATCTTCATTCGCAGGAAAATACGAACGTGAACACATCGAACTATTGCTCAGAACTCTGTTTTCAAAACAACACATCGCTTGAGAAAGGATCCATATACTTTACGCTTTACTTGACATAAAACAGTAACGCAGAGTCTACAATAAAAGTCGTAGCGGTCGTAGAGTCTTAAGTCGTAGAAAATTAACCAATCACGGTCAAATGTGAGAAGAACAATCGACTATATATGATTGGTCAGGTTTTTACGACCTAAGACTCTACGATCGTTACGGCTTCTATTATAAACCCCGTGTAATAGGCGGCGGAAGACTTAAGCGCAACAGCACGACAAAGTTGTTGAAAAGTGGGTGAAAAAGTCCCGAGCTGTCAGATCACAAGGAAATTGCGTTTTTTTTTTTCACTTTATTTTAGGATCACAACTGACTTATTAAAGCGATTATCAGCAATACGATCGCAATACGCCTCTCTCTTTCTCCGTTCACTCGATTTGCATCGATTGTACACGCGATTATTTACATGACTTATTCATCTTAATTATCGCCATATAACGAGTTTAACTTTTTATCACCTTTACTTATAAATGTATTGAGGAAAATTAATTCGTTTGATAACAGGATGTGATTGAAATAGTCTTGTTTAATTCATGCTATAATTAAATTTTATTGTCGATGCTGTAATATGAAATTTTGTATAGTTTATAGACAATCTTATGATGACTATAATTTTACTGATTTCATATAATTTCCATTTGAACACTAAGCTGCTACTTTTTCGACTTCGATACGTAACATCTTTTTATTACAATACTTCCGCTGTTATTAGATATATTGCGGAATTATGATAATTTACCGTTATGTAAGTCATGATGAGTTTGCGATTTCGTCATTTCGAAATCTCTTATATAGTTTTCGTCTGTGTGTGTATGTGTATTACTCTCTAGGTCAACGATCGTCTTTGACCGGGAAATTGCAATATCAGGAGTAAATACACAGTTGGAAAATTTGTGTGAAAAGAAATCTGCTGGCTTAAAGTTTTTGTGTTATAAGTATAAGGTACACATTTAGATGTAACATATGTCTCTTATGTTAAATGAATATAATGAATATGAAGTGTAAAGTTATTGAAACGATTTAAAAAAATATGTTAAAGTAACTCAATTTGCACGTATTCAGTAAATATGTTAACATTTACAGAATAAGAATGTTGATTTTTCTTTGTAACGTATTATATCAATAATAATGTTGGAGCAGTTACATTTTATAATAACGACTCCTTTTATCTCCTTATATGGAGCATAGGACGTCTATAGACCTCTTTTGTCCGAGGCCTATATTCGTTTCTCGAATCAGATTGTTTTTCGGATTTGTGGGTGATTGGTCCACAGAATCCTACCTCAGTCAGATATTAGAGACAAATATCTACTGATATGTATACTACTGATGTATAGGACCTACAGTTTAACGCCGAATCCAAACGGCGCTGATGATCATAGATCTTTTGATCACCAGGTGGAGCCATTTTTTGGCTCATTAAACGCGAAAAGTCATCGCGAGTCAATCGCACAGAGCGGTGAGCCACTCGACGCCACATTTTATAATTTAAAAAGAATATTTATATGTTAATTTTGTCAATAATTGTGTTGATTGTACACATAACTCTCTCTTCAAGTTTTATTGAAGATTACATTTTTGTTGAAGTATAAACATAGTATCCGCGTGTTACCATTCAACATATTCATATCATGTTAAATTAACACAAAAATTTGAGTGGACCGTTTGGGACATGCGATTTATGTTAAATTGAACATTTTTTTTCTCTATGACTAAACTCTACGGTAATGTATGTGCTGCATTTATTTAATTCAAGTACAAGACGTTTCAAATTAATCCTTCGATCTTTATCGACATTGTCAATATTTTGAACAGGCCATTTTGTTTAAACTAAAAATTTTGTGATTTTATATTATTATTTATTACTATTAGTTATTTATTAGTTATTATATTAATTATTATTTATTTATTACTGATTAGTTTGTTTATTAAATCATTGTTTATTCAAATGGCATAGACTACTGTTTTGTCGGTTTGCAAGACGTATTAATGCATTAATACATCATGAGGATTTTCCTATTAACGCAGCTTATAGATTAGCGAGAATCCCGTCGTACCTCATCATCGATCAAATTCATCTCCTATTATTTCTCGGCGCGCGTAACATAATTATTGGATCGGCGCGGCGGCGCGGCGTAGCGCACCGAGTGAATCCATGCGAGTAAAGCTACGTAATTGGAATCGTTGCACGAATTAACCTGTCTGAAATCTCGCATCCTCCCATATCAAATCTACACTCACGTTTCTCTCTCTCTCGTGGTTCTCCCATTTTACGATTATTTACTTGCGAAGTGACCGCGATCCCTTCAAGGCTAATTTTCACGCCGAGGACCGTACGGTCGCGTTTCATGGATCGTTAAATCACCAAATTGCCGCAAACTCGATTTTATGAGGTCGGGGCCGGGTCTCGCATGCACACACGCAGCAGGCTATATCAAACCAAACGCCCCTGCACTCGTCGAGGGAAAGGAAACGCTGTTTTTCTTTTTTTTTTTTTCCAGCTTTGATTCGACGAGCGCGCCGAGATATATTCGCTGATCCGGACCGTAACGATCCAGGGAATCGACATGATGTTTGCGCGGTCTACGCTCTTTCTACGCTATCCTTTCTAGACAACATCGTGCGAATGCTCTTTCACGTTGTAAAGTAAAGCGGGATTTCAGTATGGAAAAAGTAAGTTCGAACTTACAGGTACAATATCGACAAGATCATAAAGAAAATCTCAGATAAGGCTAACGATTTATTTCACGGCATTCAGTACGTTTTATTTATATTCACGGAAGAGAAATTATCGACGGTAACATTCTCGAAAGTTCCAATTTCCAGAAAAAGTTAAATTAAATTAAACGATGTTGTGCATTAGTGCGGTTTACGTCATACGTACTGTTACGCGATGTATCGGCGAGTGTTATACTGAGAAACCAGGTTATTTGTAGATAAATAACATTAGTTTCCTGTTGCGTCTACAGGAAGTGAAATAAATTTGAAATATTGCAATTTAATTTGCTATCTACACAATAAAAGTATTTTGTGTTAGAATCCACTCAAATTTTTATTAAAATTTTGTATTGAATTTTTAATAAATCTGAATTGAATTGTTAACGTAAAGTAATTGTGTTATTTAAATATTTTGTGTTAAATTGATTTTCAATATTTCTTAATATAA